CTACTTCACTTGGTTTCGTTATGGAAATTTGACGGAAGTTTGTCATAAGCAGGTCTTTTCAGATCTCTCAAGTGAGGTCAGCGTTGATGTTTTTTTCATTATCGCCTTCCTGTGGGTTTTATTACGGCACGTGCGTGCATGTGTTGTCCATAAAACAGCTATATTTGCGGTCTGTTTTATAATCTCTCCAAGGTGGTCTGAAATACTCATTTATCTCAGTCGATCTTTGGTCAGGTAGCGATGTAGAACAACAACTTTGAAGTACCCGATATCAATTGTTTTGAGGGTCATAGAATATCAAATAATTGAAAGATTGCATCTAAAGGCGAAAATACAATTGCTGATGCGATGCTAACAGCCCAACCAACATACTGACAGGTAAAAGATATCGACAGTATATTAAAGCACTAATTTAAAACCTCTTACGCATAACAGGCATAAAATCCTTAATACTAATATGACCTTGGACAGAAAGATGAAAACAACAACAACCTTTAAATCTTATAAGTTTTGACAATAGACTTTAGTAAGGATAAATGAGCGATGATTGCAATAACAAGTTACTTGCATCTCAACGAAAAGGCCAGCTGGCATGGAATGAATAGAATGTACTGAGTTATTTCCAAAAGGGAAAGTCTTTGTAAAACCCACAAATTGTCCACATTGCCTGGTGTGTTTTCAATCAGTTAGCTTTTTACGTCAGAGAAATCTAATGCAACTCCCAAGTCACTCCTAAGGCTTGAGTTTGGAAATTTATGTCGAACTGTTAAAATGAAACTGACTTATTGTAACTTTCGCTTCGGTATGAAGTACGTTGATTTTTTTTGCGTCGATGCCAACATATTTTTGTAATATCATTGGCAACTTGACTGCAAATTGAAATCGAACCAAGTATAAACCGCTAAAATATTTCTGGACTTTTCGATAATGCGAAAAAAAACTGTACATGTTTGACCAAGAAACACGAGTTAGCAGTATTGATTAGATTAAGATAGCAAAGATTCATCAAATGATTTCATGTATTATACGTTATAGAACGCACACAAGAAAGAGGTTTTTTCTATACATGGGGTGCAAATACGTATGATTGAGTGTTTGCTAGTACATATTATTATATGGAGTGACAGTGTTCTTGATAACAATCGCTGGAAACTCCACCGGATACTGTTTGAGTTTATGCCCAGTTTCTTTGTCAGCTCAAAAACCCACAACTGACGAAATTATTTACGTGACTCAAACGCCCCGGAAATCCGAAAAAAACTTGAGTAGTAGTAGTAGTAGCGCAGATCTGGACTGAATTATTTGTAAGGCTTCGATCCAAATGCGAAGGAAGGATTAGGTAACAGAAGAGCTTCAGCGTTTCACATCATCCAGATGCTATTGATTTTTATAAAAAATATGGTTTTTCGTCTCATAAATAGCCTTCGTCTTTCCTTTTTCGGTCTATCTTAAAATATAACCAGCAAGAACAGTTACGCACTCAAATGATTCTGCTTTGCACAATATTGGGCCAAAAGGGTAGGACGAGAAGCAAAACAGCTCAAAGTGTTTTAAAATCTTTCCGACTTTTTAAACAATAATTGAAGATGACAGCAGTTGAAACCATTTTACCTCAATCTTTCGCGCCGGAAATCAGGAAAACCTTGCGAAGTCGAAAACTAATCTGGAATTGATTATCTCTAAAGCTACGTCCAAGCACTTGTGTGAATTCGGGATGGCGCGATTAGCAATTAACAACTTAGCGCCGACACCCGTCAAGTGTCTGAATCAACTGTGATTTCCGTAGCCACGTTCACGAGATGCAAAGGAGCCAATCCGTGGCTTAGCTTCAGTAGAAGAGCAAGGAAAATTAAGAAGATATCATGTTACCCTCAGATAACTTTCACTCTCTTTTTCGCTCCCGTGCGCTCGCATAACTTCAAGAATCTCTTTCATAATAATGTAAGAGTTGAGATCAACCCAAATTAAAGAGCCTACTAACATCACACTTACCTCTGGATAAACGTCATTTGAGAACATTAAGATTGCTGTTTTGTCCTTTGAACTTCGTCTGTAGCAAAGGCTTAAATAAAATCTACCAACTTCTAGGTTTCCCAGAAAATCTCTTGAACACTTTCAGGATATTTAAGTTTTCAGGCTACGATTGCCCAAAAGATACATGCTTACATACATATTTAAGTAATTGTGTAAATAATTAAATATACTTTAACAAAGACATGAAGATAAGAACGTTCAGTCCCAGCTTCAAGATTTGACCCTGTAATGAAAGAATATATATATTTTTTGAGGATTTTTCATAAAGATAACGCTGCCAAAATTCATCAATGATTAAAAACAATAGATTGCGATTCCAACGCTCTCTCCCTCTTAAGGCCTATTTACACGGCACGACTTTGTCGCATGCGACAAAGTCGTACCGTGTAAATAGGCCCTTAGAAAATTACTGACGCGCAGACTTCTTGGGGAATGAAGGGCGTTAGACTATCAGGAATCCCCTAACAGTACTTGACACGCAAATTGAGAGAACAAAATATTGGGGTATGATAACTTTAAAATTTATTCTAACCAGTCACAACAATTACATGAATTGTCATCCCTTGGATGATGGGCTACTGGCATTGTATAACAATAATAACGGGAATAGGAAAATGATCTACGCAGTAATGAACACTACTTGAGCAGTAGTGAAAAAAGGGGCCTGAAAAAAATTCAGGCCTGTACAGGATCCCGTACAGGCCTGAATTTTTCTTTTTTCACTCCTGCTCAAGTAGTGTTCATTACTAGTATTGCGAAGATCGCTTTCATATTCACGTCTTCATCCGCAGTTCAAATATATGACTTTCATATAATTACAGTAGTTTAAAAATAACAATGTGACAACATAACAGGAGTGTCAACACCAAAAATTATGGACAACTTATCAATCCTAAGCTATTAATCTTAAGCTACTCAAGGAACGGTCATAGATATTAATAATGAATTAATAATAGCTATTAGTAAATGCTAAAACAGTGGATGGCGTTAAAAGCGCTCTGATTGGCTACTTAAACTTCATGTGACAACTCGTGCGGGATTTGGAAACCGAAAGTATAGTAATCGTTGCAGAAATAAATTAGTTAATTAACAATTGGGTCATACGTCAGCGTGCGTTCATCTAGATATGAAGTACGCGGGAAGTCTGGAGAGCACGAAAGATGCGTAAGAGTTGCTCGAGGCGTAGCCTCAACTGATGATAAGGAACCTCCAAACTTCCCAAGTGCTTCATGTCTCGATGAACGCACAGCTGACGTATGAACCACTTTTTTTATAACCATTTTCAACCCGATGGAAAATTTTTGTCGAAGGATTTGTTTGCTGACGTCGTGAGCGCGCACAATAGGAATATGAAGCACGCTCGCGCAACTGAATTTGATCAGACAAAGTTACTAGCTATGTTATAAAATCATTTTTTGTGCTATATTATCTCACTCTTTAAGTATATACTAAGACGACTGACCACCAATACTGACGTGAATATTTGTTAATTATTACCTTAAATCTGGAGATTTAAAGGAATTGTCAACATCTAACCTTTTACTTAAACACATATAATCGCCTTAACCTTTGTGCAAAGGAGATAGAAGAAACTGAACTAAACCTGCTTATAAAAATGTGAAATCCAAAAGTTCGAAAAAATTCGTAAGATTATCTTGAAGTGATTTAAATCATTTCGTTGCAACACGGGTAAATGTTTTTTTAAATGCTTCACGCGTTTTTTCCAGACTACACCAGCCTGCTTTAATCTCTGCTTACGATAATCCAATTTTTTTTAGAGATATGATGCAATATTATGCTTTCGTATATGTCACATTGGCTAGTTTGGAAGTAATTAAAAAAATCTCACGTCAAGAGTTTAAGTCCCAACCATTTTTTGTAATTTTGACCAAATTTTGATTTGTGTGGTATATACTCAAACAGTTATTCAGAGTTATTCACCTTTGTGGCTAAGTAAACATCAACCCAAATCACCTCCACTTCTGCTAATAACTGTTAACTATAAACTACATTTGAAAGACACTATGAAACTACCTGGTAAATGTAGATACATTTGTATAATCACTCGAATAGGAAAGGATGACGACACTACTCTCACATGGGCTCTCTGGCCACCCAGGAATATAACTGGATACATTTTAGCAGCAAATTATCAGGGAATACTGAAAAAGTACATGTCTCAGTGTTATTTGCATTTTAGAAGCGACCCTTGCATTTTACAAACAAGCAAACCAAACAAGAAATTGGTATTTAGCCAGTTGATGTAAGCTGCCAGAGAGCATAAATATGCAGTACAGCATACTTTGTGAGTAGCCAGCTTTTTTTTTCTTCCGCAAAACCGATGAGCTACTTCGAGCGGTGAAACCATGCCTTGTGCAGGTGCAAAACTCAGGACGAGTAGTTGATATCATTGTTCTTTGGTTTTAATGTTGTTTCCTTTAAAAAACCTTATATTAGATAAGATTTTAAACTTTGGCTATACTTCCCTTTGAAGCCAAAGTCAAGATACTATAATTAGAAAGGCCTATGTTTAAGCGTGAAATTACCTGTTTAATTTAGAGATTTCACCCTCATTGATACCCTAAAATGACCCTTTTTTTTTTAAAAGGTTAAATTAGAAAAAAAAAAAAGTAACAAAATTTAGTTTTTTTTTTTTTTTTCAAGTCTTAACTAAGAATTTTATCTTCATATCTGACTTTATTTTGTGTTTACTTGTACTCGGTGGAATGCTATTTGGTGGTTCTCTCAAATGTGCACCTGAAAATGTCCTATATACCCTTCATGGTGCTTTAATCAGGAAAAGAGACATGAGAAGTGGCACATGAAATAAAATGATATCAGTAACATGACATTAAACTAATCTTCATCTACAACCCCCTGATTTATTGTCACTAAGTGGTTGTTTGATGGTCAAAATGTATTTCTACTTAGGTTACTCTTCAGCTGACCTTACATGGTACTTCACCTCAAGCATTAAACTGCCTGATCACATGATCAATAGGGGCCCTGCAAATTGGGCAAGGGTCCCCCCTTTGTTTGAGCACTTGCGCACAGGCATAGCAACAACAGCAGTGTCCTGTGTCACCATGTATGACTGTAGCATTTTTGGGTTGTTCCATGCAAATGATGCACTTGGAATTGTCATCTGTGTCTTCTGGAGAAGCAAGAGTGTTGCCTTTCTCTGTCACAAATGGGAACGGTGAGGCAGACTCACTGTTCGGTGTTGGCGTCAAGCGATTTCTAACAACCCAAGGATTCTCTTGTGGTTGCCGCCCTTCAAAAAGTAGATTTATGAGTTAATGATCTTGAATGAAACATACAAAATTTCCTGAACATTTAGGCTGTGGGAGGAAAAAAGGTGAATTGGTAAGTCACCCCCCAGCTTGAGAGATGGAGATCCCAAGTAGGTACTGTTTGGAGCTCTTGAGCAAGACATTCCATCCTCATAATGCCTCTCTAGAGCCAGGAGTATAACTGATTACCAGAAATCAGTATGGGAGACGTAACAAAATCAATCACTTGGTTATGAGGACATGAAATTGAAGGAAGTCTCAGTATGTACATGTGCTATTGCCTAGAAGACAGTCATCAAAATACCGTCATCAAAACAAGTCTGACTTGAACTTCAATAGGACCACAGGTGTTAGGTTATACTGAGTGTATACAAACCTGTCCTGGGCAGGGCAAATCCCCTATTTCTGCCAAAATGTCCTGGTGATGGGCCTGTTTGATCGGCAGCTAAATAACCACACACAAAAAGAAATTGTCAGAAAACTCAAGTGAAAAAGACATGAGGAAAATCAGAGAAAAAGTTACATGCACAGTATGACTTTCAATGCCTATCTCCACACAGGAATGTTTCAAGTCCTGGCAAATGTCATGGGGACCTTCTCTTTTGAAATGCTGGGGCTACTTAACCCTTTGACATCTTATAGTGACCTGCATCTATTTTCTCTCTACCATATCACCCCTGAATCAAACACCAATGCAATGAGAAGAAAGCACATGATCACCCAGTGTTGAGGATCTTGATTGGTACTTAATAAATTATCCTGTCAGTACCATAAGAACTGTATGAAGGACAGTATGGAGAAAATACAAACGGATTTTAGGTGAAAAGAAATAACCCTGGGCTGGACTGGCCTGCCATCCCATCCAGAGGTGGGGGTTAGGGAGGGAAGGGGAGGGGAGGGGAGAATTACTCCCTATCATCCTATACTGCTACAACTGGGATGATAACAAAGGCTCTACTGTAGCAGTGAGAGCCATTTGACTGAAGCAGAAATTCGCTTGTTACCTGTATAAGGGCATCTAGGCCTAGCAGTAAAATTGTTTCTGACCTGTTCCTACTGGATATGAATTCTTACCTTCAATTGCTGTACTCATACAGTCATGACAAAGATCAAATTCGCATGTTTGGCAATGCCATGGTTTGTTATCCGTGGGGTTATTGTGCACGGATTCGCAACGATCACATCGCCAGCCACCACTGAATTGTACATACACATGATGTGAGTCTGCCCTGTATAGCGGGTGTTCATGTAGAGGTGTAGTATGCGGCCTAAAACATTCTTGGCACACATCAAATTCACAATCTCCACAATGATGAGAGAAGCTGAAAGAAAACAGGGAAAACATTACTCAAAACATCAATGCAACACCCTTTCTCGACCACTTTTCTTAGCGAGGTATAAAGACTTGATATGGGATATCACATATCAAAATTTTCACTTACTTTTCATATGGCCTGCTCGTGGTCCCACAGATGTCACAAAACCAGTTTCCACCAGTTTGAGAATAGATTAGTGACGTGTCAACCACTTTAAGCTCATGAATATGGATAGGATGCCTCTTAGGCTCATAACAGCTGCGGCAAACATCAAAGTCCTCACAAATTGGGCAGTGGTATGAGAATGTTTCTCTCAGTGCATCACTTGTCTTTTTACAAACATCGCACCGCCAAATTCCGTCCTGATTTTGATAACATAGTCGACTGGTCTCCATGTAATACAGCTGATGCTGATGGATCAAGTTGCTTACCTGATGCTGTATGTTCATACAAGAATAGCACAGGTCGAAAGAACATAGTCTACAGTGGAAGGGAAAAGGGTTCATCCCACCACTCTCAGAATTGCAGTTGTCACACTTCCACCGTCCTCCATATGGTCTATACACTTCCATAGGATTGACCTGCTCCAGGGGATGTTCATGAAGTAGGGAGAGCATCTTTCCACGTTGTTCAATATAATTATGTTTATGGTTAAATACCTGCAAAGAACAGTTTTCCATTTCATCTAATATTCTCACAGAGAAATATGATGTATTAAATAAAACAAACACAATAATCAATATTTTGCAAATGAGAGAATTTTCCCACATAGATATTTTTTGATCAAATCTTTGGAATATTTCTGTTACTTTACACTTTTCTCTTGTTCATTTCAAATGACAAATTCAAATGAATTCATAGAAGAGAGAACTTAGAAAAGTGGTACAAAGTGACGACTTGAAATGATTTGGTTTGCTATCAAGCTATTTGGTAAAAGACAAATAACAACATACCGAGGATTCCCCATTCCAATGGCATCAAAAATTCTTACCTCACTGACTCTAATGATCACCTCCATTGTGTTAAAATAAAAATATTGCTATGTCAATTATATGTTAATTTAGAATAAACTTCTTGAGGATCTCACTAATGGTTCAATATATTCACCATATGCACTGTGTAGTGTATGTCTAGCTGAATTCAAAAGGTTCTGTGGTTATTAAGATCATTTATCAAATATTTCAGAATCATGCCTGTTTCAGAGTCTTACAAAAAGTAAAACAGAGAACTGAAATATTTAAATAGTTCATGATGACATCATGTTGACAACATTTCAGTTTAAAAATGACTAATTATATGTACCAATGACCCATGGGCAACCTTCCAAAATATTCACAACCATTACCAAATTTTATAAAAACCAGAACAATTTATTAGAGACAAATATGACTTGTAAACTGTTATAAAGACAGCAGTTGCTACCATCACACATAGAGGAAATTGCATTAAGTATCTCCTCGAACATCCTGCTCTGCACTCACCTATGAAAATCACAAATTTTATTATATTTGTGAGAGTGCAGACACAACTAGTGAAACGAAATCTAGTGGACTAGCACGGCTCCAGTGAAAACGGTGAAATCTTCAAAAGTTGCAAACTATGGCTGGTTAGTGAAATTATTTTAAAAAGTTTGCTAAAGCATCAATAATGTGAATTGTAGGAGAGCAAAGACCTCTGTTAGTAGATTCATTTGATCTTTCTTTTTCCTTCCATGGTAGTTCTGGGAATATAACTTAGACACTTTTTTTACCCCTGACATGCCAGTTCGACCAAGGGATGAGTCACAGGATATATGTAAAACTGAAATACCCAGTAATTTTAACAATATCAATAATTCTTTCAGTCTGTCAGTTCCCACTGATATGAGGGCATTGCTTGTTCTGGTCATGCAATTAGGTTGGCTGACTTGTATGAAATTGAGAAGAAGTCGTCCCTTCTTTAATAATTTTTTGTTCAAGATCCTCGATAGAGGGACTACGAGTAGTAAGTATCATAAACTAATCATGTTACTTTTATCGTAAAATATTGAAATCTTAGCTTTTACGTTTTGCCATGGCAATTACAGGTTTTCATTCTATGACTAAAATTCATAGAATTGATCCAATTATGCTCAAATTGAAAAGACGTATTCCTGTTCCTAATTTAACGTTGAGAAGGGTTCTGAAACTCTGATAAGCAGTCGAATTACATTAAACGTTTATTATTAAAGGGTATGCGATGACTGAGTGAAAAATTCTACCTCAGTTTGTCAAACATATCTTTAAGTTGGATGATAACTTATCTATTCAAACTTTTTACACTGACGCAGCAGTTACTAGGGACAACATCATCACCGCGATTGACAAAGAGCATTCTTAAGATTAAATTTGAGCTTGTGCTTATTTAAGCTAAAGCATTGCTGAAATATTTTTCAGTTATTTTCGTTTGCATGGCATTCAAAACATAGAAAAGAAAACCAAGTAGTAACTTTGTCTAAGTAATAGAGTTTCGGTAAAGTGGAAGTAAAAAGTCTTTACGGGCTAACCGACCGACGAACGAGGCTTCGAAAAAAACAACCGCCATCTTGAAATATTCTTACCTTTCACTTGCGTTATTGCACTTTTCATTCTGTTTGATGAATGATGGAGATCTAGCAAATTCATAGCAGTTAAAGGAAAACTAGTCGCTTAGTACGTGACTGGCAGGTGTTTAAGACAATTCCGTAGAAATCTTAGTGTCGGGAGCTTCCCTCACACGTTCATATCCTGTGATGCTATAACAAACTGAATTTATCACAAAGGGGCGGCCCCAGACTGGGGAGGAAAGAGCGGGGGAGAGCGGACAAAAAAGAGACTTCGGCTTTTCAGCATGGTTGAGGAAATTTTAATCACAATTTTTTCGATAAATTCGGAGGCTAATAAACCTTTGGAATTTATAACCATTACTTTCGCTATGTATAAGCTCTCAACGGTGGGTATTCAATTTAAATGATTCTTTGCACGGCCAAACTCCCGTGGGGACCCGAAGGAGGGAAATTTCCCAGTTTGTAGTTCCAGGCTTTCGGACTAGGATAGTTTTCCCGAAGGAACAGTTTCGTTTCAGAGGGCAGCCAGGAGTTTGCGAGAATGTCCTTACCTAAGATTGCGTTGACATATTTTTTTTGTTTGGCGTCGGTTAAATTTGCTCTTGATTTAAAAATAATCAGACCGTGAAAGCTAAACATCAAGTTAAATCTGTCTCAGTACGCTTGATATTTTGATGAAATTATCTGCCACTTTAAAACTTGGAAATAAACACAACGAGGGGAAAAAACCGCAGGGGGAGGCTTAATCCACCAGGTATTTGGTAGTTGTCGAAATAAATGTTTAGAAAAATTTTCCGCATATATTTTGTAAACGGTGGGAAAGATGTCATACTCACTTCTTGTCTATAGAAACTGACGATATATATGCTCTTCCTTCTTTCGATCTTTACCCGGAGCTCGGGAAGCCCTCGGTGAGTCTTCGGTAAGTCTTTAAGGGGTCGGCTGTCATGTGCCAAACCTAACTTATGTCAGGTGGTAACCACTTGGAAACATGATGATTTCGAATGTCACGCTTCCTGCCTGAATTACATTTACGCTAACTTTCAAACAAGTTATGGTTAGCTGGAAGAGCTAATTTTTTTCAAAAGGCTATTTTTATTTACTTTTTTATTTCTACTACAGTAAAACAATAATAAAATTCTAGAAATAATATGAAGATATTCTAAACATCAATATTTTATACTAGGGACGTATATATAGAAGCTTCCAATTTAACATGAATTGTTCTATTGCCATAGCCTGCGCTCCGGGAACTTGGAGACAGCGCGAGTAAGACGTGCACGCGAAAAAGCAGATACGCTAAGCGCGTGCTCGCGTGGCTTTCTCCTCGCGTGGCTTTCTCCTCGCGTGTGTGGGCCTAAATCATTCGCGCAGGCCACAGTAGTCATATCTGCGCCGAAACCTTTCTTTTTTCAGCGGTTCGTCGAAATTAGGGGTTGAAAAAGTCTTTATCTCACCATGGTAGAGAAAATTTTACTAAACCTTCACGTTACAAAAGTGAAATAAGTCATAGTCAAATGATATCATAAAAAGTTTTACTAGCACGACTTAAGAGCGTAACATTCCGCGAGGCCCACGTCAAGCCACCGTTCACTCAGCTTAGTGACCTAGTTATTACACATTTATACAGTTATAGGAATCATTTGCTTATCTTCATTAGCTCATTTTAAGTTGATTTGATACAACCCGATCCTTTCCGAAGAAGCCCGAGGAAGTTCCGAAGATATTTTTGAAGTTCTGACACAGCTACCTCTCTGGTGGCTTCCTCTCTGAAATCGGATATTTCGGGAGATGTACGATCATAAACAAAGACCGATCTTTTGTTGGTTTGTTTTTCGGGCTTCCTTTCTTTTTACACTTTCAATTTATTGTTATGGCTGAGGTGACTCCGAATATTTCTTCCCGCGTGAAAAAATTGGTCGGTAAGTGTGAGCTGGTAAAAGTGATAAAAGAGAAGCATTTTCTATCCGCAAACCAAGCCCTTACTTCCAAGGCATGAAAACTTGTTCTCCACTCATACAAAATACACCAAGACAATCCAATAAACTAGATTAAAAATTGTGAAAGCAATGACGAAAGCTATCCTCGCTATAATTTCCACGTCTTTGGAATTGATTTCTTTGCTGTCTGGTGGCGATGAAGTATCCTTTGGAGACTCTTTGCATGGCGAGTGAGTCTGTGCTTCTTCCATCGAATACAGCCCACCTCTATAGCACGAGTAATCACTTGTCAAACTGCAGTAAGTTTCTTGCAGATTATCCTTCTGTAGAAATGGTGCCTTGAGCAATAAAAATACTCCTCTGGAAATATCAGATAGAGAAAATTTCAATGCAAAACTTTACTTTCGATAATAACACGCTTCTAAAGTTGAAAGATTTATATGAGTGCTCTCCAAACCTACTAGACGCTTCAAATCTCAATGAACGCACACCTGAGGTAAGAAATAATTGTCTATAAGATATTAACGCGGTGCTTAAAGAAATTCCTTATGTTATGATCTATCACGCACATTCATGCCATCAACGTGCGCAGTAGTAAAACGAAGTAAGCACGCGCAGTTTAATATAATTACACGAATTTACAAGCTTAGTATGAGTGCCTTTTCAATACCTTTGCCCTTCCCTTGTGTATCAAGATAATGTACTCCAACATGGTGCACAGAACGAAGAAGAAAGATGTCATGAGATAGATGTCGATAGCTTTCACATACGAAACTCTTGGCATAGTGGAGTTGACAGAGCCCCAGATGGTAGCGACTGTCAAAAGAGTCGTGATACACAACCCCACCCGGGCAGGGGTGGCTTTGCTGTCGACGAACAGGGACATCCAGGCCACAAACACCACTGCTATACAAGGGACGTAAATCTGTATCAAGTAAAAACCCATCCTTCTTTTAAATGTGAAAGTCGCCTGAAGAACTGAATACTCCCCTGGTTGGAATAGAAAAATGAATTCATGAAATTAGATAACTTGTCAAGGGAGAAAAGTAGGTCAAGATTGCTTCTCTCTCTACGATTGGTCTAAACTTCTTGCTCTACCTTCTCGATCAATCGGATTAAGAACGAGTAAAACCAATTGCGACTCGTGAGTCAATCGCGTTTTCCCGGGCTTCGCACATTTTACCTGTTTTTTATGTGATGTCTTACTTTGTCTGTTGCGGTTTCTTTAGCGTTATTTTAACAAAACTAAACTAAGTTTCGCCTTACCGACCACCCGGCAATAATGACTATATCCTGGCACTCTTATGTGTGAAGCTGAGTTCTAGAACTCTCCCTGTTTCATGTTGCTCACGAAAAACCATTCACTGGATGAGATGTATGTTAGAACGTCGAGATGAAAATATTCCTATAAATTTAGAAATGCTCCATGATAATATACCACCAGAGATTTATTTTCTGATTTTCCTAAAGTTTTGTGTAAGTTACTAAAAAAGCTTTGAAAGAGAGTAAACGCCGGCGACGAGCGTGCCTGCGCACCCGAACAGCTTCGATGCGCCCAATGACTTGACTTACCAGCAACGTACTGGACTCGTTGTTCAGCGGTAGTCATGTTTGTCATGTAAAACTGCGCCATTTCCTTGTCCAAGACAATGACCCCTGGGTTGGACTTCCAGGTGAAAATTAGATGGTTCGTAGGATAGGCATCTGTAAAAATGCATTTAGTTATGAAAATTATTATTATACGGAAAGACGTCCTTGTTTGTAGCCTGATCCGTTTTCATTTCAGAAAGGTTTGAAGCTCATATTCCACGGTCTACGATATTTAGTGAGGTAACATCGAAGAAAAAAGGAAAAACAAAAAAAACAAAAGCAAAAAAAAAAAAAAACGATGTTACTGAGTCAAACCACCGATTTTACGTAATTTCAGGTTTTCTGTCCGATTTGGTTCGATGGGAAAGGTGGGGAAAATTCACCCCATCATCGGGTCCTCGCGTTCCAATCTACTCCTGTTTTCTTGTCAGTCACGCACACTACCAATAATCGTAAAAACTGTGGAGCACTTACAGCTCACAATACTTAGGGAGCAAGTTTGTTCATCCATGGGAAATGTACGGAAATTCATGTGGCACCTTGCTGTCAGAGTTGCTCTGAAATAAAAGAGGACAAGAAAAGCGTCAGATCTGTCATCTTTATCATATTTCCATGCCATGTGGTGGGATTCGGATGGGTACTTAGTAGCTTTCACTGAATAGGAATAACTTATTCCATCCAACCGCTAAACAAGAAAATGTCAATAAAGGCAGAGGGGCCACCATTCTTGCCCAGTTCGAAAAACCTGCTTTGCATGGCGATGGATACTTTTTTTGAGTCATGATCATATCAGCTTCACCCGGTTTCCGTGGCATAAGGTCCGTAACATAAGGTCACTGGAAGTGTTATATCTCCCCCTTAGATGAGATGTTAGTTCATGGCAGGTTCCCTTAGGTATTTCGTCAGCTTTCCATGACAGTTCGTTAGTGAATCCATTTATGACCATTTATACTCCAAATTGAAGAGAAGTGCTTCGGAAGTACAGTGACTAAGTCTCGAACCAGGACTTCTCGGCCTAGAGTCCAACGTGTTAACCGCTAAGTCAATGCGTCTCCATAAACAGTCCTTCTTCTTTTCATTCTTTTTTCAACATTTCATTTCGTATTGTAAAGGTGTGGAGGCACAAAAGACGTCGATTCTGGAACTGAAATATGCCCAAGAAGGAACCTAGTAGCTTTAAAATTATCATTACGGCGTAGTATTTTATTATCTGAATAACAATTTCAACCAGAGATCAACAGTGCCATGCCAGGTAGCGCTAGAATGAGTGAGCTCTCGCTCTTGAAAAGAGGCATATTCATGTAAAATTACACAGGACATACCTTGTTCCCCAGTTTACCTCTCCTTTTGCAGAAATATCCACTTTGTGATTTGTAGCAAGGACATTGTGCATGTAAGATTTAGTAGCGTCTACAAACATTGTGTCTGGAACCCAGATGTAGTCTGCTGGGTGTTTCGTCCCCATTGTAAGGGTCATCATCGTTGTCATATTATGACTGAGCCTCTTGTCTTGCCAACGTTGGCGGAAGAACATGTCCAGTCCAAATTCCTGAAGATACAGCATCATATTAAATAAAATGTAATATTGAGTGTGGACATCTGTCCTCGATTGTATTATTTAGTTTTAACCTTTTACACGAACGTGATTTGAAGACAAAAACTTGTGCCTCTCTCAACCAAGCAGACGCAACGTTAAAGCCCATGGCTCGAAACTTTGTTGTGGTTTCGACAAACACGTTCCCCTTGCACTTCTTCTTTCCCAGTTACCAAATAAACAGTAAACAGTAGCAAAACTTGGCTGAAAGCTTGCCCGTGGTTGTTCGATATGTACAGTTACGATAGGTCTTTTATTATGACCTGCAAAGGTTTTCTGGAAAGGTTTGTAGCTCTGACCTCCTCGACATTGATCATTCAACGGTTATGCAATAGAAAATTTTTCGAAAAACAGGAGCTAAATTTTGACCGTAGTAATACCTTCTGACCAACTCCAAAATTTTGCACTGGCCGGGAATCGAACCCGGGCCTCCCGCGTGGCAGGCGAGAATTCTACCACTGAACCACCAGTGCTTCACGGGATATTTCTTTATTTAATAGAAATCTTTAATTTGGCCCTTGCTTTTAGATTTCGAATCTTTTCCAATTATCAGCAAGTTCATAGAGACGTTTGATGGCTGAGAGAAACGATTTCAGTTGAGAATTCTATCCACATACCAGAAGGAATGTTTTTAAGAAGCTCGACTTCCATAGTGGCACCTCCCAAAATGTTAATCTGAGGTTTTTTGCTTTGTTTGTTTGTTTTTTTCTTTTGATTTTTGTATTATTAGTTAATATCCTCTCGTATTTGTAGTGTACACGTGGCCAAATTTATCGCATCTCAGATTTAAGATTTAATTTCAAAATATTAGGTTACCCTTAAAAATCTCGAAACATGGCGAGTGTCTCCTTTATTTTCATATATTCTTGTATATTCTCTTGGTATTCCAGGAGAATGATTCTCTTTTTAATACCAATTAAGGTCAATTTGAGAATTTTAAGAGGCGAAAAGGTAAAGACAGGCAGCTGTTCAGGTACTATAGTAAATCGCTCGATACCATAAAATTCCACTGACTGCATACTTACCATTTCCACTTCTCTGATATTTGCAAAGGACGCCACCGAGAAATCAACAAGGATTTCGACTGGACGACCTGCAACAAAATGAAAGTCAACTTAACTGAGGTGAAATGAACAGCAAGCTGTTTGGGTTGCACCGAATCACGGATAATCTGTGTCTTTATTACAATGTCTACCCTTTCGAAAGGTACGTAAAACCATGTTTTACGCGAGCGGATAAAGACCTGTTTGAACATTTCCTCACTGCCTTTTCTGAACCTTTTGTAAAACCATGAGGATTATAACTGGTGCTATTTTTATGTCGAATTTACTCAGGATTGATAGAAACGTTGACGCTATCACGGGTAAATTTTGTTGTTGTTTGGCTTTTAAAATCTATCTTTAAAAAAACTTGAAAATATTAACCTAAGTTGTTATTTTGATTTTCGTTTAAAGTAGCAAAATTTCTACCTTCCAGATGAAATATTACTCTGTCGCAGATTTTTGGAACGTGTAGACAATCTTTATGAAGAAAACAATTCAATAACCACTAATATGACTTGATTTCACCGACCTCTTCGTTCAGATTTGAAGTTCAGCCACTATTACCTTAAGCTAGGCATCTCTCAATCATCGAATGAAAATATAGGCAAAGCATTAAAGCCTTAGAATTAACAGAAAAAAAGTAGTTTAAGTGTTTACCTGTGTAATTTGGCCTGATTCGAGAATCATAATTATTCAGTAAATGTCGTAGGTCCTTCGCTAACTGCTGGTCAGTAGAAGCAAAAGATTCAGTCCTGCGTAAAAATGATTCACAAGATGAGCGAAAACGGCGAGAAATTAATTTGATAACGAGTTGCACACAGTGACCGGTCAACTCATTCAAATACCTTGCAAAGAATCTGTTACTGCATTTACAGAGTCTTCCTGCATAGGAAAGCGAAATTCCACAATTCCCCACCATTCTATTCCGTGGTATTACCTTTCCTCTCCTCCCTTCGGACTTAAAGAAAAACGAGCTCATTCTAACAGTTCGAGTAACCATGGCTGTAAAGGCAGGTATTAATAATTAATCTCGGTAGTAATTGCTTTATTACACAGTGAGGATGTTTGTTAGAAATCCAAGTACGTCCTACTTGCCTTTGAAAACCGTGAGACTTTCCGCAGAGGATAATGGTCAAGAGAGCTATTTCATTAGAAGACCAAAGCTGACCTCTCTTGTGTTTGAAAGTCCCATCATCGCCTTCTGATCCGTTGGTTTTACAGACTAAAAAGTAAAGATAACCAACTTAAATCAAAATGCGAAATGAATTGTCAATATTCAAACGTAAGAAATAATGTTACGATTTTTCTAATGAACAGAAGCAGAGGAGCTCATGATGAAAAGCAAGATCTTAGGTTAGAGCAAATCAAGTAAAGGCGATTAAAATAATTTCAAAAGCCCCTCACCGTCGGCAAAACGTATTCAGACAGATTAGTGCAGACAACTGAAATGCAGGTACAATAACTAAGAGAGGTGTTTTGCTTTTATGACGTTAACATATATGTGAACTCAATTGTTTGGGTGGAGACTTGAAATGTTTTTCCTGCCTCATGCAAATGACAAAGTTTTTTTTTTCGACTAAAGAGGGTCAAAAAACTCCTGTATTAACCGCTTTTAGTCTATTTTTCCAATTATTACTTTACGTCATGTTAATAAAGTTTTTTCTCATTGATTAAATTTCAGATTTACCTTCTTGGATGAACTTAATTTTCACCTGCCACACTCTTCGATAGTCTCAGCGACCCACTGCAGACAAGTGCTTAAAAACTTTGATGTTTTCTAACGCCTTTACGTGCGTTTTGACTGCCACATCTGCTGATAGCATGAGGGCAGGATAAGATCTGTGCCAGTTCCTTCCTCACCTCATATTAAATATTGAAGACCTTTTGCATATAAATGGGAAGGGGAAGGGGAAATAGGGTCTTTGTAAATAAAGATGATCAAAAGTAAAGAGATTTTATCAAGGAAATTGAGTCACGCTCCTCAAAGTTCACTCCATGGAAAGATAATATCGATATCTTCATGGAAAAAAATTTTTTGGCACAATTTTTTCACAGTCTAAGCTCGGCGAGAAAGCTTTTCAGTATGCAGATCTTCTTAAGGTTAAAGGACGGTGCGGGGTAAACACTTTGAAACCTGGAGGCAGTTGTCATTCGAAACGATTTCGCGCTTAATTTATTATAAGCTAAGGCGAGCAAATGAAAAACCGGTGTTTAATAGATTCGTTGTTCCTGGGTTATGTGGTAATAATGAAATAATAAGTATTTTGAAAATGTTTCTAGATGTATGATATCGATCGTTTAATAGGCTGCGGTGGATTAAAACGGGAATGCCTCAGACTATATAAATGATTTTCGTGATGATAGGGAATATTCTTATTTACTGCACGCATATCTTCAGTAAAATGCTCGCGCAACGAACGTCACACGCTTATACACGTCCAGGATTTGCTATGAATCTTTTTGTTAGTTGTGGATGTAGCATTTTTCATCTCAGCTACTTTCTGTTTCAATCTACGAACCGGTTTTTTCAAAATTTGTACGTTTATTTTTGCGAAAACTCGACAGGTTTTGTATTTTTGTTGGTTTGCGGTTTTTCCCACTTAATTCACCTGATCAAATTTTGGTAGGTACACCTGAAAAAACTGTTTTTTGTATGCAATGGGTAGATTTTCAATCAAAGTTCAAAATGAAGACAGTCTTAGACTGTATGCACAATGGGGGAATATGTCAAATGCAGATCTGTGAAAATGGATCTCTTTCTTCCGAAAGAGTTGTATAGATACTGCATAAAATTTCCCAGCAGTTGTTAAAGCTACGAACTCTTACCAAAAAAGACGAGCTTTTAAACAAGAAGTTCTCCTTTTTATTCCTGAAGGCTCGTTGCAAGCTGTGATTTGGATGTAAGTCTAGTCTCTGTATTACATTATCCATATTTTTAACGTGCCTTTGGAAACCAATATAAAAGGCTACTTAAATAAATAATCCAATCTGAATTCTGAACAGATTAGTTGGTATATGAATTTCTAACGAATTTTCATTAAGAGATTTAACGCCAGAGAAAACCATCTTACAAAAAAACGAAATAAGAGACTTTAAAATTTTTTGATGACATTGTTTGAATTAAAACTGCAAATCAACCGCCTTAAGGCCAGCTCATAGGAGGGTTTTTTGAACAGCCGGTTAAGAGTGGTTTTTGGTGGTTGGATTTAGTCACGGGCATGGAGAATCGACAAGTTTTTGATAAACGAGAACTATTTTCCTCCTTCTTCTCGCGGCTTAAAGATCCGTCTTTGTCAGAGATGACCAACCAGCTGTATCTGTCGTTCGTTTAATTTTTTCAATGGGAAAAGGGGGAATTATTAGAAATGAGGTGCCGCGGGTCCAAACTAGACCTATATCAGAGCCATACATATCATTTTCCACACCTTTATTGAGAGCTGACCTCGAAAATCCACCCCCACCCCCTTTAGTTGTTGCTTCTAAAATGTCGTTTTTGTTTACTTGTTTATGAGCCAGTGGTCTTTATAACAGTGCGTTTGGTTTTGCATCAGAGCCTGTAAGTGACATATCAAAGACCAAACCCAACCTAAGGTCAATTAGTTTTTAGAATGATAGTTCCCTTGTACGTGTGTACGACATTCTCCCTTGCTCTGTATCGTGACCTCCACGGTCCCATCTGCCTTATCCTCGACGTTTTAGCACGTCGATCTCAGTCGGCTATGTACAAATATTTTGGTCACAAAAACATGTAACAGCTTGAAGACACAATTCCTGCCCTGAGGGTTTTATGACTTTAGGACACTTCAGTTTCCAGATAGATTGAGCTGTTGTTCTATATATAGATCAAAACTGATATTTTGTAAACCACAGAAACGATTATCTTATATATACGTAATATCAATAAGAGGAAAGTTTAACCTAATTTGT